AAGCTGTGGACATGGATGGGAAGGGGAACTTGGCCAGTTCCCTGTACCTGCTTTATTTGATTGTGACATCATCGTGTACGCTGTGCATGGTTTCATCCTATGATGATCGTCGCCGTGTCAGCCCGAATTTCACCCCTGATAAAAAGCGACTTTGTTGATCGGTGCCTTGGACTGCAATATAGACTTTAATAGTAAACTGAGCCTATTGAGAGATTCACTGAACATTTTGAGTTTTCTGATCTCCCGGATGGAGTGCATTCATTGACGTGTCAGTCCCCCGAGACTGTTCGGTGTCAAGTGTGAATTGGGCATGGCCTTCCCTCTTGGGCGCCATAACCGCGGGACAGAAAGAGCCCGTATCCCTTGATATGTCCTTCTGGGCAATGCCTGATTGGCTTGAAGAGAGCCCCGTAGAGAATAAGGCCCACAAAACCAACCTCACATCAGATAACTAACTGTGTTTTTTGTTTTTGTCTTTGTAAACCATTCAACGTAGGAATGAAGCACAAACCAAATCGCAACATTGACGCGCAGTGAGAGTGTGAGCAAGAGTGATCTGGTGAGCACTCCTGATTCCAGTGATCATTCCTGATTCAAGTGAACACTCCTGATCTCACGCACCAGCCAGATTCCTGATCTAACAGACAGCGTACAACAATAAGAATTTTATCAAGTTACCTAGAATCAAGCTTTTCTTTTTGTTTATACTTGAATCACATACCGAAGCTCGGTGCGCAATTCGACTACCTGGACTACGACAAAACGCTGCTCGGAACTCATTGGCTATCAACCTGGTAATGGCTGGTTGTCATGGAATGATGGGAAGCAAGTCTGGCGCAGGACCTGACCCTTCTAAGGGTGCATGTGTGTGGGGAACCTGAGTCTCAAAAGGTATAGTTCTTTTTCTTTTGGGTTGCTCTTTTCAAGTTATAAAATCTCTTTCAGCAGGTGCGTGTGGCATCCATGTCCTTACCGCACGCAACGAAGCTGTGGACATGGATGGGAAGGGGGACTTGGCCAGTTCCCTGTACCTGCTTTATTTGATTGTGACATCATCGTGTACGCTGTGCATGGTTTCATCCTATGATGATCGTCGCCGTGTCAGCCCGAATTTCACCCCTGATAAAAAGCGACTTTGTTGATCGGTGCCTTGGACTGCAATATAGACTTTAATAGTAAACTGAGCCTATTGAGAGATTCACTGAACATTTTGAGTTTTCTGATCTCCCGGATGGAGTGCATTCATTGACGTGTCAGTCCTCCGAGACTGTTCGGTGTCAAGCGTGTGTGTTGTGTGTGTGTGTGTGTGTGTGTGTCTGTGTGTGTGTGTGTCTGTGTGTGTGTGTGTGTCTGTCTGTGTGTGTGTGTGTCTGCGCGTGTGTGTGTCTGTGCGCGTGTGTGCGTGTGTGTGCGTGTGTGTGTGTGTGTGTGTGTGTGTGCGCGTGCGTGTCTGTGTGTGTGTGTCTGCGTACCTGTCTGTCTGTCTGTCTGTCTGTGTGCCTCCTCTTCTTTTCTCTCTCTGGGTGTGTGTGTGTGTGTGTGTGCGGGTGTGTGTGTGTGTGTGTGCGTGTGTGTCTGTGCGCATGCGTGTATTTGTATGTGTGAGGAGGGTTCAGGTTTGGTTTAGGGTTTTTTGGGTTGCATTCGGGGTTTCGGGATGTTTCGGGCTAAGTTTAGGGTGTGCGTGAGGGTTTTGGGTTGAGAGGTGGGAGTACTGAAACAAAAATACGGCGCCATGACTTCTTTTGTGATTTTTGTGTTGCCATGCAAAACGTGGCTTTCGTGAGGTAGTTGACTCCACCGACGCCTTCCTACTTGGTGCCCTTGAAGAACAATCAGTCTTGCGGCTCAGCATGGCATGCTTGCCTTGCTCGGATCCCATTTAGAGGCTCAGAGGTGCACGGGAACGTGGTGAACTTCCATTGTGCGAAGGTGCTCGAGATTTGGGAGTTTGAGCCCCAACATCTCGCCAGTGTAGCGCAGACACGCCAGGGGCTTGGGTTTTTTAGCGGTGCCTCCAGACCGATAGCATTTAATGGCCTTTAGCGCTCTAAGTTCAGGGGGCCTTTGAGCTCAAAGGCCAAGGGGGGGAGTGCCGAGGCACCGAAAGAGGCCACCAAAGGCGTGCTTTGCGCTGTTCTCGGAGTGGCACTTTGCGCTGTTCTCGGAGTGGCACCTAGAGTAACCCTGAAGTTCTTCTTCTAGAAGCAACGGCCAGGCTTGCGCTGCTTGAGGCTGCTTTCCAGGCTTCGGCCATGACTGCTGAGCAGTTTCGCCCACAGGAAAGCCCGTGCTCAGCAAAGATAGTTTTTGAGTGTTTCTGATGTTTCTGCCTGTCTGCACAAGAGGAGCTGGGCAGCATTCTATGAACTGCATGCAGGTGTGGGCCTAAGGGCAACGTGCACATGCAATCAAGCCGATTGGCTTCAGAAAGCTGGATGTCTCCTGCCGTGACAGTATGTACTGTGCAAAAACAAAGAAGCAAGCCGCGAGATTACCGGCTCAAGTCTATAAACAAACTGCTGTACCGTAACTGTGCGACCATGCCAACCTCAGTTCTCAAAGTCTCAGCTCAAAGCTCAGATCGCCCCGACTCTTGTTTTACTCGACGGGCAAAGGCTTCAGCCTCCGGACATGGTACGGTCAGGAAAAGTAGCCCAAACTTTGGTTGGGAGGAAAGTGCTATGTTCACATGCCTCCTTGAACTAAAAACTCTTCTGTAGATTCAGCTCGCACTAGTCGCATTCGCTTCAAAGTACGACAGAACAAAGATGGAGAAGTTAACCCTTTGGAAAGTCGCCATCTTGATCCTGCAAGGTCAAGACCGCGGTGCCTTGGAAAGATCGCGCCATACTGACCAAAGCTGCAAGGATTCAGGAAAATCTTTTCCATGAGTCGGCCCGTCAAGGCGCAGGGATTCGACCAAAACAGCTTGCATCAAAGTGCCGAATGTCAGCCCATTCAAGTGACTTTTCGCGGCACCACATACACGAGACCAGCGAAGCGATCCCAGAAGTGGCGTGTTGCCGAACGCTGGCCAGGAACATGATTTGCCCACTGTTCCTTGGGATGAGGTCGAATGCCTCAAAGTTCGAATGGACCCGTCGAAATCCACATGGATCGGAAGTGGCAAAAAGTAAAAAGCGGTTAGTGTGAGCACCGTCTCTTGCAAAAAGTGTGCTCAGCCGGTCGACCACTTCGCTCCAAGGAAGAAGTGGCCCCCACGAGCGCGACTCGACTCGCCGTGTGTGTGTGTGTGTGTGTGTGTGCGCGCGCGCCGAAAGTTGACGTCTCCCGACGCCTTGTTTTTTGCCGCTGGCGCTGCTACTATTGCTACAGCTGCTACCATACTACCTCAGTAGTTGACTGCTTCGCGCTGCGAAAAAGGTCGGAAGGATCTCCGCAAGCTGGGAACCAAAAAAGGGTTCTTGATGCACTGGTCCTGGTCCTGTACTGCCAGCGGATGCCCCACCCAGGCGTGGCAGCTGCTGGATACTGCTGACAGGCGAGAATCAGATCCTCAAGGAATTCTGGTGATGGTAGATGTGCATGATGTGTCCAAAAGGCTTAATGTTGGAATGTGGCCGCCTAAGTCCCTACACTTTTGATTTAGACTTAGTGGGGGTGCATGGAGCCATACCGCTGAGGACAGGTATCAGCGCGATGCTGAGCATAAGCGAACGTGGACCGACACCATCAAAGCGGTCTTTGTTGAAAGAGCCTGGATCTCGTCATGCAGGTGCATGTATGATCAGCGGAACTGTATGCTGGTGCGGTACGATGCTATCAACGAAAAACCGAGATTGCGGCTCCTCCTGCGTTGTCGTGGAGCCGTGCGGCCGGCGTTTACCGTTCTTCGCCTTGCTTGCATCAACCATCTGTGGTGCCAGTAGGGGAGGGCAGCAGGTGTATTACAGCTACATGGCACATCATGGCACATGCACCCCGGAACAATTGGCAGCGTGTGTGTGTGTGTGTGTGTGTGTGTGTGTGTGTTGTTTCGGATTGTGGCTTGTTTTGATTTGATCAAGGTGGTGGCCGCAGCAAGAGCAGCAGAAGCTGGTGACGCAGCAAAAGCATTGCTGGGCACCTACCGGCGGTACGCACACATGCATTGTTAGATCCGTAACAATTGCCTGAACTGAGTGTCATTGTCCATTGCCCATCGTGAGAGGGGAAGCTGTTTCCGATTGTGCTGTAACTGCAGGCAGCTTTTGGAGAAGGCTGCTTGCGGCTCAGCCCTCCAAGATTCTTGCATGGAATGCTGAACCAAGCGTGCCACCATATTGCAGGTATCACTTGACGGTGCTCGTGTTGCCGACAGAATACGGAGGTACCAGCTATGTGGGCTTGTATCACAGGAACTTTTGTTCTTCGGCATTTGTTTTTGCCTTGCTTTCCTTTCTGTCTGCAAGCTATTTTTGATGCCGTTACACGTTGCATCATCCGAGATTCGATCCGTGCAGGGCTTGCGGTGCAAAAGGCCAAAATTGCCAACTGGTGCCGTGAGAGCCAACAAAGATCGTCTCTCACTTCTGTCAAAGTGCAAAGAGAAGTTTTCCAACAGCCGCTGGTTCTAAGATGCTGTTGTTCTTTCGACAGTATGATCGAGTGAGCACACGCCTTTTATATGGTACTAGGCGACTACGCATGAAGAACATGAAGCACAATGCGATGCAAAGAACACGTCGACGTGGGGATCTCAAGAAGCCAGACGTGCAGTCTCCAGAAGCTCCTGACAAAAAAGGGGGGCAGTGTGAAATGACTCTGGGAAGTGAGAAGAGAGAGCATTTCCGCTGGATGTCCCAAGCATGTTTTACTTGAACTCAGCTGGCCGGTTGTCAAAGTTTGGCTTAAAGAACCAAGCCAGCTAATGCAGACAAGTGCAAGCAGTTCATGATTTTTTCAGCGCCCTCGCGGCCATCACTCAGAGCAGTTGGATTGTCAGGAGGTGTACGGAGCCCTTCACATAAAACTGACTTTGATAGCGTCAGCCACGAATGGTGCCGAGCTCGGCTGGGCAAGCGGATTTTGCAACATGGACGCTTCGAGTGCTTCTTCGAGTGCTTATAAGGCACATGCCCAGCGTTGCGTGCAAGCGCCTCCACCCCCGGGATCTTTTGATGCCATAGTCCTCGGGCCCGTGCCCTAGCAAAAGGAGATCAGAGATATACATCCGTTTGCGCAAAAATGCGGGCAAAACAGCAATTGTCTCATCCAATCTGCTTTTTACTGTTGCAACACCGCAACGAGGTCCGGAGTTTCAACAGCTGTTCCACAACTGGCCCATGTTCTCCACGGAAGATGTGAATCCGTGAGCAGCTCAACCGATGTCATCTCAGATTGAGTGTTTTGCGCGATTTAACCGCTAGCGCGAAGCTGCCTCGGCAAGTGCTGCGGCCGGGCTGTAATGTGACGGGCAGCGGGATACGAAAGGAGCATTTGTGGGGGCAGGAATGCATGTGGCCGGGCTGATAGGGAAAGGGGCTTTGGAGCTGGGTGTGCGGCGATGATCGTAATGTTTCGAGTTCTAAACGCCTCAGACCTCCGGCTCGGCGGAATGTTTACAGAACGCAACTTCAGGATAGCCGGCTTTTGAACAGGTTCTGAGAGGACTGTGTATCCATGTGCTTGTATGTATATCCTCACAACATTTATTGGCCTCAGTGCTCACTTCCTCTCGCTCCGGTGTGCGTGCGTGTGTGCGTGGGCGTGTGTCTGTGTGTGTGTGTGTGTGTTCATGGGATTTCATGGGAAGGGTCCTTGCTCTTGCGATCTCTTGCCGGCGAGTTTCGACGTCTGATGTTTGGAAACATTCGGTAGAAAGAAGCAGCATACAAGCAATTAGCAAACCTTTCTTTGCTTTGAAGCGACTGATCCCATCGCTGAACCAATCTGACCCATGCAAGGGATGCAATGAATCGTTTGGCAGCGCACGGATGCGCGTCATTCCCAGTTCTGACTGTGCAGGTGTGGAAATGTGGCCGGTAATTTAGTTTCGGCAGCTGGGAGCAAGTCTTGCTGAAACCAAAAAACAAAGCTCTTGACAAGTTCAGTAATTAAGTGCTTCCATACTTCTATGAGAGATGCATGTCAGGCAACCAAACAGAAGTCTCGATCGTGAAAGGGCACGAAAGGTCTCCCGAAAGCGGGTTGTTGTTGAGGTGCTTCTAACAAAAGAAGATCGCACAGCCCCCACATGTGCCTGTCTGCGAGTTCTCTGAGGCGAGTACGGCCGTCCGCAAGGACGGCCTTGCAGTTTGTCAGGAGCCGAGGGTCTCTTCAACTAGGTAAGCACCATTCACCCATCGTACATCTCGCTTGTTTCCAATGTCAGCGTTGAAGGTCACCTGAACGATTCCGGATACTTCTGCTGTGTGTCAGAGCATGTCAGAGCGTTCTCAGAACATCTTTCTCTACTTGACATCTTCATTGCAGCGCTACAGTGGCAGTGGGTAGTGGCGCAGGAAGCTGCCGAGAACGCAGCCTCAAAGAACCGCCGCCTCAATGTATCCCTGCTTGTGCGCTACAGCCCTGAAGATGGAAGCAGAGCCTTCCTGGCATGGCTTCACCTTGGTTTCACGTGCCCGTTTCACTGCATTTCAAGACTTGGAGACCCGTGTTTCTGGACGTTCCCCCGGCTTGTGACCCTCAGGTTCGGCATATCATGATAGATGCCGGAAAGACAATGCGGCAGGCTCGAAATGCGTGTTTGTGGTCCATAGTGAAGCGTCAGGCAGCCTGATACAATTTCGTGGCGTTGCAAAGCTGGTTCGTCGCTGGAAAAAGTCGACCGATGCGCCAGAGCTCGCTGGAAATCCTCTGCGTGTTACGCATGCACCGCGAAGGTCGACTTCCTAAGCTACCGGAGATCCGCAGCACGCCAAGACCCAAAAGCGACGGCAGCGCAAGGGACTGTGGCCGGAGTACGATCTCGATCCACAAGCGACATCAAGCAGCTCTACAAGCTGCTGGTGTGGCGGAAACAAGATTTCTATTCAAAACGACGACAGATCTGGAGCATGCGCACCGCGACTTACAAACTCCCTTTGAACGGACTCGCAGAGCGACACCGTCGAAAGGCCCAACCCTGCAATTTTGCTCTTTCGCAGAAGCGCCAAAGTGTTCGGGAGTGAGGCGGGACGGCGATGTGGCACGGAATGCCACCGAAGCAAGAACACTGTTGGCGCGGGAACGGGCTACAATGATTCGAGATAGATAGCATTGAGATTCACATGCGCAACGTGCACCGGAGCTGGGGCCGTTGCAAAATATTGTTTGAACAGTGTTAAACGTGATTAAAGTCGGTGAAGTCCACTGAAGTACGGCAACTCGACAAAGATTGGTGGCGGGAGCAAGAGCATGTCGCAATCAATCCTGCATCATGTTCGCCAAGGGTCGCAACACCCCTGCAGCCCATGTCATCTCGCCAGCGCAGGCTGCCCTGGCCACGCTTCCCATGTACGGCGTGAAGAGCATTGATGCTTTGCTACTGACACACGGCCATGCAGATGCAATACTGGGCATGGATGACCTTCGGGACTTGCAGGTGTTTCGCCTGCTTCGGCTTTCCTTGTATGCTTGTTTGGCGAGCAACTACCTCTCGTTTGTTGTTTTCTGGTGTCAGGTAACAGAAAAGGTCCTGGATGAGAAGGGGCAGCACATCGGATATCGGCTAGCCGATGCCGCTCAGTCCTCAGACAGGTTTGAGGCGGCAATTTTGCAGCACCATAAACCATAAGATAAGATCCTCAAGTTTTGAGTTTTCGGAAATCATGCATTATGAACGACACTAGGCTCTTGGAGGAAGCTTTGCACATGACATGGGGTGCCCCCTCATGAGGCTGGACCCATGCAAATAATCTCCAACAAGGCGACGCTTGATCGGGTCGGGATCTTTAGACGTGCATGCCGCTAGTGTTACAAACTGCTTTTTTTACATGGAAGTATTCCTGTTCTGCATTCCGCCGTTGCCCGCTGTTCACCGCAAGGTCCGGGAAGTTTTTCCATACCTGCATGAGCCTCCTGACTTGATTCGACCGGGTGTGCTGCGGCGTCGTATTGCCTACACTGAGTTTGTGGAAGTCCTGTCCTCAAAATTTGAAATGGACCTCTGCTTCAGCATGCCATTCTTATTGCTGTGGCTTGTGGCAGCAAGGTCTCTCACGACGAGGTGGCTATCCAGATCGATGGCCTGCCTGTCACACTCTTTCCGGCTCCCAGTCCTCAAAAGGATTGCACACATCCACAGCGATCTTATGCGCGAACTTGGAGTGTACTGAGGTCTGGCATGGAGGCACTTATGTCTCATTAGGGTTTGCCTTCGGCGCTGAAGGCTCAAGCTATCCTTTAGCCAGACTCTCAGGGCCATAGGGCCATTGGGCAGTCCAGAGGTTTTGGCATTGCAGGGGGCCGAGAGCTAAGGTGTACATCTCAGATGTCAAGGATGTCCCACCAAACACTATGATCTGGCTGGAAGCTGTGGGGCAGCGTGGAATAGAGGTGTTCATCGTGGATGCCTTGGCTCGACAGCCACACCCTACGCACATGTCTCTCGATGAAGCGTTGAACCTGGTTCGCAAACTGCGGCCGCAAAGGACGCAAAGACATGCTCTTCACTCAGTCTTGAACACGCTGCGCAGTGCAAAGACGATTTCATCTTGTTTCGCAATGTTTGACTTCACCATGTATCCAAATGTGCAAACATGAGTGCCGCAATCTGACATTCTGTGTTCAAGGCTTCAGGCTCAGATGTCTCCTCTGCTTCTGGCCTTCAGAGTGCTGTCAGAGATTTTCAGAGTTCTGAAACAGCTCCGTTTGTTTCTCCCTGTATACCCTACATTCTTGGACGGAAGGAGGCAGAGGGTATAAACCCGCAGTTGTGGGCAGATTGAACCAAATAGCGTCGGTTCTGAGAGCCTTGAAACTTGGCATCTTGTCTTGCAGGGTAAGGGTATGCGAATGGGTGGGATTTCCTGCGGTTGTACAGTTTTGGGTAAACCCAGAGTGCAGGGGTTTTGTTTCGCCCTTGATAATTCTGGTGCGTCTGTTTTCTGTTTTGCTGCATCGTGTGTTTGCTTGGTGCGCACGTTGGTCCGCTTTGCACACCAATGGGTTTCCCAATAAAGTTGCCGTGTTTGCAGCGTCAACCAAGCATGCTTCGCCTAACGGAGCTCTTACGTACCCTGAGCAAGTTCCCGAAACACGAAGGCGTAATCTTCATCCTGCTGAGCACCGACGTGTCTTCAGGCCTTAAAGCTTCCCGTTTGCTGTCCTGTCTCGACTCTAGTATCTCTAGTAGATCTGTCCATAGGGTTTTCTGGCATTGGCCGCCACGCTTTCGGCTAACCCAGCTCAACCCTCACTTTGGAGCGTTCGTGAATTGACCTGCCCGCACATGAACCATAGTCGTTGTGTGTTGCGGTCAAGCAGAACAACCGACTGGGTGAAAAACTACAGTGATGTTAAGAAACAGCAGCCGAGGACACAAGCTATATAAAGATGCCGACGCACCTTATTGGAACGTAGAATTGCAAGGAACGTGAGCGGATAAGCGGTGCATTTCGGCACAGGGCAGCGTTTGCACCTGGAAACCTAGAATCACTGCGAGTGGAACCACAGCCGTACGAGCTTTGGGGCTCATCGTCGTTGTTATTAGGCGTTTAAAGCGTTGTTTCCTTCAGGAGCTTCTTTGTCGGGATGGACTCCTGTGCTATCGGAGACCATGATGAGGCTCGAAGCACTTCGCACCTGTTTAAGCTCAGCACAAATTAGCCCAGCAACGCAGCAACGGTATATTCAGGTGAATGAAGAACTCGCGGCTTTGAAGGCTTCAGAAGGCCCGGGCATTCTTTCGGAGCCTTCGGCATTGTGTCTACGCTTGGACAGTTGCTGTTGCGAAGTTTCGTCCCCATTCTTGCCAATGTGCTTATGTGCCCATTTTCTCAATGATTTGAGCCTGGACAGGTTTGGACGTACAGCTTGCTCACGACGGGTTGCATCTGTCAAACTTTGTGGCAATGCGCTCCGCTGAGACTCTCGTCCAGCATTCGGGAAGGAGGATGATGATGCCTTGGACTACGGTTCGGACTTTGAATGCTCATGAGGATCATGAGGCTGATGTGTGGCAACCGTTGTAACAGAGAATGATGTTCACGGAAAAAGAGAAGTGCATATGACCTTTGAGCATTGCTCCTGCGCGACGAATCGCTGAGACATTCTAGGCCCGCGTAGTGTTGCCGAGCGAGATGTGTAGGGACTTTCGAGACGGAGATGTTTCTGATGTTGGCGAACCCTCTGACTGAGGGTGCGGTGTGTGGTTAAATGGCTAGCAGCTTGCAGCACTCGAGAGATCTCGAGAGCACTCACGAGAGCACTCAGGAACAAGCGAGCTGGCAGCGTGCTCCCATCCACGGATGCGGCAAAGCACCCGCGTCGGATGTGAAAAGTCGCAAAAACGGTGCGATGCTGAACATTGCTGGGCTCATCTCAGCACATTAGAGCTAACTTGCACAGCTGCATTGGCACACCAGATCCCGTGAAGTCGGGTGATGTGCAGTCTCGTTCAGGCCAGAGTTTGCCCAGTAGAATATCGCAACCCCCCAAAGATTCAATCACGAGCGAACTAGCCAAGTAAGTATCCGGCAGCAGCCAAGTTCGAAAGTTTAGACTAGAGTATTATCAGTATTTTGAATATTCTTTAATAGCAATCAGACCCCAACGAGCAAATACAAGTCTTAATACCACTCAGATGTCTCCGATTTCACGATGCAGGTACCACCGATCAGAACAGAATATGGGATGCCACGAGATCAGCTGAAAAGCCAGGTACGTTCACAGAGCGCATCAAGCGTTTCGGGGAGTTCGTGTGCTGAGTGGATTTGGTGGAAGCATGCGAAGGGGCTTATGCAACTTGTGCTGAACAGCTCAAACATGCTCAAACAGCTAGAGCAGAGGCTGGCAAGGCTCCTGACGTGTTTCATCACGCCCATGGCAGTCGTGGCAGTCGTCATAGCCCCATGTTCCTGCCCCATGGCATCCCCATGTCCCTCGCATCCCCATGTCCCTCGCTGATCGGCCACTGGCCCTGCTTAACGCTAGGATGCGGGTTCGGGTTTGGAAAGAACTTGGCATGAAACTTACCTTCGCGGCCGGTGTCACTCCCTTCTGAGCCTGTTTCATTCATCTTCCATCTTTTTGTCCTTCCCTTCCGTTAAAGCCGAGCGGGTCGCTTTGCTGCCATGTGTCAAAACAGGACCCTCAAAGTTGCACAGGCTGGGGCTCAGCAGCAACGGGGTGTTCGTTCTGTTGGTTGACAAAGACTCTACGTAGTATATAGCTGGAGGGGTGCGGTGTAATTAGGTGCTTCCTCTTGATGGCATAAGCAATCAGAACTGAAGGGCCGATGATCGGAAGAGTCAGAGACCCAGTCAGAGATGCGACAAGAGTACGCAGGAGAACTTGAAAACAAAGATGATGACAAAAAACTTCTCTATGCTGCACTTTTCCGGCCACTATGCATTCTCTCAAGCAGTGCAAGACTTGCGCAGCCAGAGTTTCTGCCAAGGCACGCAGGATAGTCAACATGGCTTGGCAGGCAGTCCCTACTTGACCTGCAACACATTCGTCGAGTGAGAGAGGATGCAAACTATTCGGAGGATCATGACTACAGTGGTTCTGCTTCGTTTCTGTCTGTCTGGCGCACGCGAGCGCATGAATCCCTTCAAACCATTTTCAGTATACGTACCCTTCGATGATGTCGACAAGATGATGGTTCACATCAGTTGGAATTATTCTTCGGATGGAAGCTGGAAACTCCGCCACCACTTGTCAATGGAACATGGCCGGTCCGTGCCACTTCCTGACGAACAGCTTCGTGAACTCACAACACGTCTAGAGAATGCTTACGATGCGCAGCGCACACTTGATCCTGTCTTCTTCAATAGGAAGCAGAGGAGGTGGAGGCGTGGCTGGGTTCGGTCACCCAGATGTGGTAGTTTGGAGCCTTACTGGGACAAGTTCAATCTTTCACTTGCGCTCTGGAATGCCTACAGCGTGCTGACAGCCTCTGACTTGCCGAGATCTAAGGTTCTTGTGAATATCGGAGCTGGAGATGGTCCAGGTGCAGGCCAGAGTCTGGACCCTGTGTGGGTTTTGGCATTGAGCTTCCATCTTCACGCAGTCTTTGTGGAGCCTGGACCAGCTGAGTTTCAGGAACTTAACCACAACATCAAAGCACATCGAACGCCTCTGAACCTGATTAGCGAGCCTTACATGATGGCTCTGAAGCCGGAGCAGATCCCCAACCTTCTACAACGCTCAGCGCTGTTGCAAAGCGCAGCTTTGCTGGATGTCTTAAAGGTTGACATAGATGTGAACGATTGCGACGTGGCTGCGTCTTTTCTGAGAGAGCGTCGAGCTCGGATTGTTCTCATCGAAGTGAACCCCTCATTCCCGCCGCCAATTCTTTTCTGCCAGCATGCGAGCTCGCCGCCTCATGCAAACACGAAACCCTTACATGGGTGTTCGTTAAGCTACATGGTTGAGCTATTTGCTACGTTCGACATGTGGTTGTATCGCTTCGACGGTCAGGATGCCTTGTTTGTTGATTCTGCCCTGGCGCGCGAGCTGACAGCAGCCTTCGGGGACCGCTTTCCCAAGGACGAGATTGATTGTTTCCAATGGCCACGGCTTCTCCCCTCAACAGCATCGGCACCGGTCGACGAATTCCGGAATTGGTTCTATGATTTGGAAGCTGAGGAGCAGTTGCAAATTGCCGCCCGCACTGCGATGTCACAGTACGCTCGTTACAGAGGCTTGTGTTCTGTAGAGGCCACAGCATCTTGCTCGTGGCATGAGGCTGCACGTGGCGTGCTGAAGGGTCCAGCATACAGGAAATTGATTGCTGATTCGCAGGCTGCGTGCAAGCACGCATGTTGCGATGACTCCTCTTGTCATGCCGCGTCATTCTCCTGGTCGGCTGGAGGCATGTGCATGCTGCACAAGCAGGTCCACTTGCACACACCCCGAGCAGAGTCTGACGGTGGCGTTGTACTTGTCCGTCGTGAGGCAAGGGACGAGAAAGCCTGCATGGAAGCTTTTCAGAGCTTGCAGCCGCAGCTGCCGATGACGATCGGCCTGCCGATCTGTGGACACTCCTGCCAATTCCCCTCGTGGCCTTCACAATCTTCACAGCCTGGGACCGGCTCCGAAAAGAATCGACATTCAGCGATCACGTAGTGCACTCTTTGAGGGCGAATCTTTCCAGGGAGATGTCTCTTGCCAGGTTCTAGGCACACAAACGATCCTTCGGATGATGCCATGGCATGATAGACCCAATTGTCTCGGAAGGCGTGGCCTACGTGAACTTGCTGAGCACAAGACGTAAGTGTTTTGTAATCAAAGTTCATCGGTGAGGCATGCGGCCATTGAGATTCCATTCTGGAATCGTATTGTGCCGAGGCACAACATCAGGAAGCATTTGATAAAGCTATTTTGGGGAAAGCTATTCCCTCCATGTCTTGTCGGGGGGGGTGGGGGGGGGCGGGTCGGGCTCAAAATTGGAGCAACCTGTGAGCTTTCAGCAGAGCCTTGTGTGAAGCCTCGTGTGTGCAATGGTTCGACTTTGAATCAGCTTGTGTGCAATGCGACTTGGTGTGTGAAGCTTCGTGTGTGCATGGTGCGACTTGGAATGACATGAGTGAATTCGGGTTCGTGGAGGATTGTGGAATGTGACGTTGTGCGACGATTGCGACTTGATGCGACTTGATTGATTGCGACTTGATGTAGGATCTGTGTGTGCGACTTGAGTGCATTCGGGTTTGATTGCGACTTGGTTTGTTGTGACTTGAAGCGGCTTGAGTGCAATGCGACTTGTGTCTTGTTGTGAGTGACTGCGATTGCTTGATATGTTGAGAGATAGCGACTTCACTGCTTCAGCTGCAGTGAAGCAACTTGTGTCCGAGCCATGCCAGGTGCCTGAACTGCTTCCCAGACCCTCCCCGGGCAAGCCTTCCAATTGGAGCTCTTTCGGGCCCAGAACTGCTCTCCAAATCCTCAAGCCCCTCCAGCTTCAGATCTTTGGGTCTCTTAAAATGCTTCACAGACCCTTGAAGCCCTTGTGCATTCGGGTTTGTGGGGTATACGAAATGCGACTGTGTGCAGGATCTGAGTGTGCGACTTGATTGATTGCGACTTGATGTAGGATCTGTGTGTGCGAGTGTGCGACTTGAATGCATTCGGGTTTGTGGGGTATGTGGTTGGCTGCGAAATTCATGTGTTGAGATTGCGACTTGGTTTGTTGTGACTTGAAGCAACTTGGGTGCAATGCGACTTGTGTCTTGTTGTGTGCGATTGCTTGATATGTTGAGACAGCGACTTCATTGCTGTAGCTGCAGTGAAGCAACTTGTGTGTGCCTAAATGGATTCCAACCGGGCAAGCCTTCCAATTGGAGCTCTTTCGGGCCCCAGAAATGCTCTCCAAACCTCCTAGCCTCTCCAGCTTCAGATCTATGGGTCTCTTACAATGCTTCACAGACCCTTGAAGCCCTTGTGCATTCGGGTTTGTGGGGCATACGAAATGTGACTGTGTGCAGGGTCTGTGTGCGCGACTTGATTGATTCATGTGTTGAGATTGCAACTTGTGTGGAGTGAAGCAGCTTGTGAGTGCATCTGGCTTAGTGCGACTTGGGAAAAGCAGCGTTTAAATTTGTGTAATGTGACTTGGGTCTTGTTGTGCATTCGGGTTTGTGGGGTATCTCTGCTGGGGCTTATCTGGTGTTGTGGGGTGCAAGTTTGTTGCGGAGAACGATGCAGCAAAGGGCCTGCGACGGCGCATCCAGCGGCATAAGACCAGGGCATTGGAGCAGGCTGTGTATTTCCGACATGGGGGGGGGCGGGGGGCGAGGCTAGCTCGCGCCAAAAAACCACCGGCTTTTAGCCCATTAGTTCAAGGGCCCCGAAAAAGGGCAGCTCTACTTGCTCTGCGAAAAGGTTCTAAGGCTTAAGATATTTTCCCAGCTTTGTGTGCTCTGCGAAAAGGTTCTGAGTGAGGCCTATGGTATTTGCCCAAAGACCAAACCGCGGTGGGAGAATAGTATCATATTGCCCCAAACCGAATTCCACGCAACCCTTGCGGAAGCCCTCTGAATCCCCACGTCATCGTCCTGGGCCAGCTGCTTGTGGGTTTAGGGTTTGGGGTTTAGGGTTTAGGGTTTAGGGTTTAGGGTTTAGGGTTTAGGGTTCAGCAGCTCCGGGTCGAGCAATCTCTAGTAGAGCCGTTGTTTCGATTCTAGAAAAACCCACCCACCCAGAGAATCCCAAAACATTAAGAAATTAAAAATTTCACACACACACACACAGACGTTGAGGCCCTGAAACCCTAAACGCCTGAAGTTCCTCATTTGGCGTGTTTTTGGAGGCAAACTTTCTCTCTCAAGGGGGGGTCGGAGTTTGAGGCAAGGGGGAGTCTCCAAAGACTACTTTGCCTTTAAAATTGAAAAGTACGACCCCCCCTTGACCAAAACTAGGCTGTGAAAAGGTCGCGGGGGCGGCCGCTCATCAGAATTGAGGGTTAATTACACCAGCGAAGACCCCAAACAGAATGCATCGAATCATACCGGTTCAAGTTGCAATATGTTGGGGCGCGTGGGTGGTGGGACACAAGCATTGGGGAGGACCCAGGATCGTGAACGGCCCTCGACGAGAGCTATTCAAGCAGCTATTCAAACCCTACGGGTAGAGTAGCGGTGCAATGCGAAGAGCCGGAGGCCCAGCATCATGAGCATGAGGGCATGGTCTTTTGGGCGGGCGGGCCCGTGGGCCCGTGGGCCCGTGGGCCCGTGGGCCCGTGGGCCCGTGGGCCCGTGGGCCCGTGGGCCCGTGGGCCCGTGAGCCCGTGAGCCCGTGAGCCCGTGAGCCCGTGCACGGGCCTGGACCTTGCCAAAACAAAACCTTGCCAAAACAAAACCTTGAAACACTAAGTCTTGAAACAAAGCCCCGCCCGCCTTGAAATACTAAGTCGTGAAATCCAAAGAATCCTAAAGCCTAACCCTGAAGCCTACAATCTTAAAAGCCTAAAACCTCAACTCTACTCCTAAGACTGTGAGCCTCTGGTATGTGGCAATGCAAGACTATTACAAGCTTTGGCATCATCGCGTGTAAATGTAACATGTCAGGCTTGCGTTTCCTAAGCTGCGGGGGTTCAGGACAAGGCGTTGGAAGAGTTACTTGATCCGAAGCAAACGCAAACCCAAGGTCTTGAAGCCTTGTTCTCAAAACCTAAGCCCCACTCAAACCAAGATCCTGAAACCTATAGCCACAAAACCTTAACCCTTAAATTCAACCCTAAAACCCTAACCCTGCAAGTCCTAAAGTCCCCAAGCCCCTACTTCGCCAAAGCTTCTTTAAAGCTCTAATCACCGCAGTCGCTAGCCAAAGACCCACCTCTCCCTTTTGGAATACTAAATCTTGTAACAAAGCTCTAACCCCCCTTGAAATACTAAGCAAAGAATCCTAAAGCCTAACCCTGAAGCCTGCAATCTTAAAAGCCTACAGCCTCAACTCTACTAGGGCCCCTCTAAAATACTATTAAAAGTGCGTGCGTGAACTTACCACTTTTAATATTATTTTACGAGGGGGAAGTGAATAAGTGCACGAAGTAAACGCATTCACGCACAACTGACCAAAACACCCATCTAAACCTTTAGGACGTACCATTCATCTCTCTCACCCCTTTAAGACCCCAGTTCTAGTATTATGAGTGTTGTCTGTTCACCCATCACACCTTGAGACCCTGTTAACGCCTGGTCTGGATAAGTGAAGAGAGCAACCATAACCTCTGTCCCATCTTGACACTAGGATTTACTACTACAGCTCCCGCCCTTGAGACCCAACCTCTGTTTCACCCTTAGGACACAACCTTAATACCCCCTTTGAGTCATCCTGGAAGTCGTGTTCACCCAGCCCAGTTGTTACCTTAATGACAGGTGCATGACAGGTGAACCCAAGATCGACCGTCTCCATCTCCAGCTCACCCGTGAAGATATTAAGTGAAGAGAATGAGAGAACGCATTATAATTCGCTTGTAAACTTGTGCACGAAGTGAATTATAATTGCGTGAACGATTGAACGAAACGAAGTAAACCTTTCATCCTAAACCCTATAGCCCTCATCCCCGAACCCGAAAGACCTTCTTCAAAGCTGTAATCACCGCAACAGCACCGATTTTCTCCCCAAACCCGAACGCTTTCTAAGTCTGGGTATGGGTTTGAGGCGTTCTCGAGCAGGGTTTTCGCGAAGTTGACGTGGCTTGTAGTCTCGTGCCTTGTCAAGCGACCTTTGTGACAATTTGAGAGTGGTAGACGACAAGGTGGGGAGCGGGATTAAACCGGCAGCAAAGATTTTTGGTGGTCAGGATAGCGTAGAGCGATAGGCAGAAGTTATAATTGATAGTAACGACATTACAAGCCTGGGCTGTGGGCCCATGGGCCCGTGGGCCCGTGGGCCCGTGGGGCCCGTGGGCCCGTGGCCCGTGGGCCCGTGGGCCCGTGGGCCCGTGGGCCCGTGGGCCCGTGGGCCCGTGGGCCCGTGGGCCCGTTGATCTTCTTTAAAGAGGCCTGCCCGTGGAACAGGGTATTCTCGAGCATGAGGCCTCTCGATCACACAGCCCAGGCCCACAGCAAGATTGGACACAAGATAAAGCAAGGCAATCAGGCCAACCCCACGTCGAGCAACGCCGCACGAATGAAAGCATATTGAATGATCAAAACAAATGCATTCCCGCAAGCGCGGTCAAAGTCCATTATGAGGACTTAACGGAACCGTGAGTGATTTTTTCCGCAAACCGAACGAAGAGCGTCGTACACAGCATCTTTCTGCCGCAGCAACCATGCACGGAAAAAAAAAACACATTCTTCCCGCAACTGTTACAACGTTGCCACCTGAAGACCGATCTTGCTGCCACAGAAACCACGGGCGGAAAAAATGCACATTCTTCCCGCAATTGCAGCAACGTTGCCGCCTTGCAAGACAGGACACCTGGCCTCTGCTGCATACGTTTGTGGAAGAAGCGTAAAAGAGGCCTGCTATTCGCTTCGGTTGGCTGTCGCGTGGCAAAAAGTGGGAACTTTGCTGCGCATGTTTGGCAAAAGAAGTAGGAAGGGATTTGTCGGCTTACAAGGCAAACAAAAAACTCTCTTTACACGGAACCGTTCACAATTTTTTCCTGTAAAGATAGCTTT